TCCGATAATAACTTAAATCTATACTACTCAAGTCTAACCCAAAAAATCTCACGGCCTAGTCCGGCCCTCACATAGATACCCCTAACGGTAGTCAAATGCATCACAAGAAAATTTAAAGTGACACAACATCATGTTCGTAGATATAATGCATGTACTGTACTGCTTCAGACAGCTTAATTTAAGCTGGTGTACTCTCCAGGCTTTACAAGACTTTTTTTACATGTTCGTGATTTGGACTATTTTTTTGATTAAAAATATTTGAAAAAAACTATGGAATTTTGTTCTGGAAATGGTCTATTTCATGTATTTATCACTCAACAGTCGTTTTTTTGGTAACGAAGTGAGCTTTTTGCCTTTTTCTTTCTTATTGAGTAAGTCACGTGTTTCATCCACCGTAACATAATGATTTTAAGTATTTATAACATTTTTCAGATTGAGACTTTCGTTTTACCATATTAAACTTTTTAATTTTCACCAACCTTAATTTAATTTGCACCTGAACGATCAAATTCGTAAATATAACATATGCGGTCATGTTTGGGTCTAGTTTCTATGCTCTACATATATTATTTTGGGATCTGCTTATAGAAAAATCCTAAATGCACATAATCACATTGATATTATGTTTTCAGGTTAACTACCCCTCTTACACACGGTGTTAAAAGGATTGATTGACTACGATACAACTGAATCAAATTGTATCTAACTTGGCGCTTCTAATTCTAAGTTCATTTTATATTTCATATAAATCATCAATCTTACTTAAGGATGGGAGTGGACCGAAACAGGGTGTCGGATGTAGTCTCTATCCCCGTATCCGACTAAAAAAACTCTGTTCATCCCCGTTAATAAGTATAGTTTTCATCCCCATTCCGTTTGTGGATAAATTTGTAACTCCCGCCTCATCCGCGCCTTCACCCCCCGCCCAAGCCCAAGTCCAACATAATCCAACATTATAAATAATCCAAATAATCAAAAAACTTGCATATCACCGACTAAAAATTACCACAAAATTCTTCTCATTAATAAAAATTAGTATTTGGTATACTGATAAGTCTATCCAACACTTTTCAAACAAAAATATATTCAACAATTTTCAAAGAGCAAAAATCATATTCAAGTAGAATAAACTCAAAAATAGCAAACATCATATCTAACACTATATTCAAAATTCAACAAAGATCATATTCAAGTAGCATAAAATTATAAAATTCAAAATATTTCATATCTAACACAGAAAATCAGATGTAGCACATAAAAATACTGATAAATGTGATAAAAATTACCAAAAATATGATAAATTTTGATATAATACCAAAATTTTAAATTTCGATACGGTAGTCAACTATCTTATAAATATAAGGGGCAGACTTGGGACATTTGGGACGTTAAATAGGATATGATTTTACTAAATTGTTCATAATATATTTTAAGAAAAATTTCATTCATACCCTTATAGATTGACATATCTTTAATGAAACCCCCTCTATTTTCTAAATTTGATTTGAGTTAATTAACATTCATTTTTTATGTATTAAAATTTTCGTTGATTATAAATTATATTTTTTCCATATTGATACATAAAAAAATATAAAGTTTAATGAATAAAAATAAATTTTAATCAACTTGAATCGAATTTTAAATGGCTTGAATTTTAATTCGTAAAAATATAAAAATTTTAATCCACTCGAATTAAATTTTAATCAACGGTAACACTCAGGTTGATCGAATTAATTCGAATTTTAATACATAATTTTTTTAATAGGCTTGAATTTTAATACGCAAAAAAGTAAAATTTAGTCAGCTCGAATTGAATTTTAATCGACTCAAATTTTAATACGTAGGAAAATAAATTTTAATTGACTTGAATTTTAATATATAGAAAAATAAATTTTAATCGAATTAAATTTTAATGTATAGAAAAATAATTTTTAATTGCCTCAAATTTTAATCAAATTTTATGTAAAAATATTGTTTCAGGTTTATGTATCAGCAATTTTAGTATTTTAGATGATTGTTTTTGGTTAAAAATTGTAGGTTAAGAGTAGAGGGTGTCAGTGATATTTGAATATAAATTAGAAGGGATCTCAATGATATTTTGAATAATGGGGAGGATCTCAGTGAAAATATGTTTATCTAAAGGAAGTATGAACAATAATTACCCTATTATATTTTAAGATCGATGTCACTCTTTGTTTGTTGTACCAAAAAACAAAAAAAATGGGTACCATATCCATATTTATAATTTTGTGGGTATTTTTATCACTATTTTGAATGTTTTTATAATTGTTGTGGAACCGAAGAAAAGTGGTTAAAATAATTACAACAACTGTTATAAAAACACTCATAACAGTGGTAAAAACATTTATATAAGTGTTAAATCACCTACAAAAATAGCAATTTTTTATACCAAAAAAAATAGTAAAAATAATTAGTACAATAGTAGTAAAAATATCCACAAAAATTATAAAAACACTCACAAAAGTAATCTATAATACTTATATCAATCTATCCATGTACTACTTATAAATGTCAGAATCTGCAAAAAAAATTTAATTTCCTATTTCACCTGTAATTATTATCTTAAAAGCTATTATGCCCACAAAATAATAGCTAGATAAATTTATCTCTATGACTTCCAAAATTTTTGCTAGATAAACTTTATCACTAATATTCTAATATTTTTCATAGATAAACTTTATAACTATGTATTAGCTAAATAAACTTTATCTTTATGACTTCCAAAATTTTTGCTAGATAAACTTTATCGTTATGACTTGCCAATACATTCTTCTTTTCCATTCAATTGGCAAACTCGACTAGAATTCTAGTACCATGAGAAAAATTTTGCTATTTTTTAGGTGATAAAACACAACCATGGAAAATTCTTTATTCATTGGTATACAATAAAATATTAGAAGAGTAAAGAGTCAAAACCACATATATATATATACATATATATATATATATATATATTAGAAGTATATGTAGATAGATAGACTCTTATCTCTCCAATAACACTATTAACATATTTGGCCTTATATCGCTGCAGTAAATTTTTTAAGCTTTTTTTTCTTTGTCAGAACATGTTAATTGCTAGTATGATATTTTTTTTTATTTTGTTTTATGGTCATTGCATAAATGTTTTGTCTACCTTGTAGCAGTTTTTGAAAGTGGAACTAAAATTAGTTTGTGTCGACTGAATTGGTGTTCCCATCAAAGTGATAATGAACACCCAAAAAAAGATACTTTCATGGAATGGAGAGTTTAATATGTGTTGGAGATTAAATTAATCTCCTAATATCTAATTTTTTATTATTAGTAGGTTTGCAGTTTTTTAGGAGTTGTTATTATATTATGAGTAAAATTAGTTTTGTTTCCACACTTCTTAAATTCATGTCGTGGTTGAATAGTTTTAGATTAGTATATTATATTTATGAATTTTCTTGGTCTTGTGTTGTAATGCTAGAAAGTCTTATTGGATTCAAGAAGCCATTGAATGTATATAGCAATAGCTTTGTATTTCGTCATCTTCATACACTTCGTATTCTAAAAAATATAATCTAAATTTTATGATCTAAGTTTTTTTATGGGTAGCGCACGTGTGCATTACTAGTATATTATAAATGTTAGCATCTGTAAAAAAAATTTGATTTCTTATTTATACTAAATTATTACAATAAAGTTAATTATACCCACTTATATACCTTCATCTAATTTTTATTTTTTACTTTTATTTGACTTTCAAATTATTTTGGATTCTTTCATAAAGACTTTTAAATTGTTTTGAACTCATTTATTAATAGTACAATTACATATAATCTTCTATATCTATATTGATAATGCACAAATTGGATTTGTACACCACCTGTCAGATGAGCACTAATAAATACAGTAATTAATAAGTGAGAGATAGAAACAAAAGTAAGACAAGCTTTATAGTGTTTCGGTCAATGTGACCTACATCCACTTTGAATGGCTAGGGTCGCCAAAAAATTTAATTACTTCACGTGAGTAGGGAGAGCAGAGGGTTACAAGCTGAGAAAGATGGGAGAGTTGTGCTCGACAGAATGTGATACCCCCCAAGTGTTGGTGAGATTTACAATTTATAGTCTCGCCTTCTAACAGATTAGGGCGACTTAATAGTAGCCAAATAACTAATTTGGTGGACTGCGACCTCTTCTCGACGGGCGAGGTAGTTACGGTGCTCGTCATGAGATTCGGTCAAAGAATGAGGTGAGGGTTAACTCTTTTCAAGGCTGCAAGAATGAGGCTCTTGGATGACCCTGTATGCTCCTTGATGGTGTAGTTCCTTGAACCTGATGAACTTGACTGGGTATGGACCACTTTGGGATGGACTTGTTAGATCTCTTGGAGTTGGGCTATTAATTCAGACTGAGCATATAACATGAGGTGGGCCCTTGGGCTTGGCCCATCATTTGCCTCCCTAATACCCTACATCCAATGGTACTTGGCGAGGAGGGCATTCGACTGATTTTGAATTTTTGACTTAACGTATCACTGAAAAAACTTTGGGAGGCCAAAACATATGTTTCTAAGCCTTTTTTGGACTTTTACCAGCACCAGTCATTGCCAAAGACCATATATCTTATAGGGCTTGTCGAGAGTTTCGATTTGATATATAATAAGCCCCGTTTGGAGTTACGAAGTAAAAGTTACGGTCAAAATAGAGATCAGACCTTCTTGAATTTGAATTTCTCCTTCCCTCTTTGTAGACTCCATTTGCCCGTTGGACACCATTAGTTATATAAATTTCTTCTTTTGTTTCTCTTTTGGATTCTTGAAGAGCCCTAGATTATAAATTGATGCTTTTTACTTTTTCTTCCCTTAATAGGATTTTAAGACCCTACGCTATAAATAGAAAACTCTTTCTTCATTCTACCCATTTTATACAATCTTGAGAGAGGAAGGTAGAGCTCTACTTGGAATCCTCAAGAACCCAAAGCTAGTTCGCTCTTGAGATGAGCTCTCAGAAATCCATGTCCAACGAAGGAGAAGATGTTCACAGGATTGTCAATCTTGGAGAGGAGCTAGTAGGTCTTGGTGGAGAGCACGAAGAGGAAGGAGGAGAGGAGTCGTTGGGCGCTGCTACTAGGCGCGTTTGAGGAGCGCGAGGAGGGGGTGTTGGGGTGCTGATTTGGGTAGTTTTGGCGAGCAGGCTAGCATAGATGGGCGTGCAGAGAAGAGCTATCTAGGTGCTTGGCGCCAAGGTCCAGGTGACCCAGGTGCTGGGTACCCAGGTCGAGGCGACCCAGCTGGGCAAGCTAAGGGAAGCGGGCGCGCCTGTTGTGGCGGGCAGGCAACTAGGCGAGCAGGCCAGGGAATTAGGCACACATGTTGTGCTGGGTAGGCAGTTGGGCAAGGTGGTAGCATTGGGCGCTGCTAATGTGCTGACTGTGCCCGCTGAGCTGGGCTTTATGGTCGGGGCCACCCAAGCGCTCGGTGAGGATTTGTCGTTAGCGAGTGAGACATGCACTTTTGGTGGTGACAATTCTAGCAATGTGGCGGATGATCTGGCTCCTTCAGGTGGACCTTCTCAAAATCAAATTCCTCAAAGTCCTCCAGGTAATGGCTCAGGCAACTCTTCACGTCCTCGCAACAAAAAGAACCGAGGAAAGGCAGCTCTTGAAGACGATGGATCCAAAATGAGTACTATTTCTAGCACCTCTAATACGGACACTGATATTTTACAAATTTTTTCTGCTTACCACATTCCTCCAACTGTGCTATGCCGTCGAGCTGAGATGGGTGACCCAACTTGTGATGACTCGTCTGGTGACATTGCAATCTATGAGGAGATGCTTGAGGCTGGGCTCAGGTTCTCCATTTTTTTTTATTTGTTGTGTTCTACATTACTTTTCACTTGCACCGGGGTTGCTGTCGCCCTATGGTTAGAGAGTTTTGTTGTGCTTTCTAGTATTGTGAAGGAAGATGCATCATAGGATGCCTCTTCTGTCGAGTTTCATGCAGCTTATACTTTGAGCGATACTCTTGCTTCCAATCAGGGCTGGTACTATTTTACTACGAAAGATAAGTTGATTATCGAATTACGTTCCAACTATCATAGTTGGAAGTCTTGCTTCATATTTATCAACGGAGAATGGGCTTTAGAGGCCGATAGGGCTTTGGTACCAATAGGATGGGGTACCCCTAAGAAACTCGGTACACCCTACACTTACTTTTTCTCCCTTTTTTTTTACTCATAATGCCTCTTTCAGATTCTCCTATACTCTCCAAGGACCAATAGTGGAAGTTGTAGGCCATAAGAGCTCATCCTGAAAAAGACTTTGGAGTTCTTATGCCCAAAGATGGTGGTAGGGCTAGTGGATAGAATGGTAGTCGGGTCTCGCCTCTCTAGTAGAAGCACTCCTCCTCCTAAGCTGGCGAGGATGAGTGATGCCTCCCAAATGACCTCTCCAATAGCGCCACCCGAGGTGAGCTCTCCTCAAGCAACCCCTCTAGTGGTGCCTCCTCAGTTATTAAATCCTTCAGTTATGAGCGCTCCAGAGACTCCCCTGTTAACCACAACTTCTGCCCCCCATTCGTCCACTCCTCCTATAGGAACTTTTACAGGGGCACCGATTCAGACTGGTCCCATACTAGCCAACCCGCGAGTCAATAGGGAAAAATTTAGGAGATTTGTGTTTCCGCCCAAAGTTAATGAGATTAGTACTCTGGGCATTGAGGAAATTATCAACTCATTTCTAGAAGGCCTGGTTCAGGTAAGGGTCTGCTATTTCTCTTTCTCTAGTCCTTCCCTATGCATTTTATCATTCCTCTATCTTTTATCTTTTATCTTTTTTAGGCTTCGATTGCATCTATATGCTTGCATTCAAGAGCCCATTTTTACAGCCAGCTGAAGCTTAGTTAAGAGGCTGTAAAGAAGGAGCTTTCCGTTGCTCAGGAGAGGATTACAGAGCTTGAAGCTACTAGTACGGTTTCTCAGGTTAATCTAGTTATGACCCATGAGAGGGCTGCGCTCAGAAAGGCTACCTCCTTGAGAGCAGAGGCAGAGCTTTCAGCATTTATGAGAGGGCGATTAAGCTGGGGGCTGAGCTTTCAGTGGCCCACGAGAGGGATGCGCTCAGAAAGGCTGAGCTTGTGGAAACCCACGAGAGGGCCATGCTGAGAGAGGCTGCCTGCTTGAGAGCGGAGGCAGAGGTGAAGGCAGCTCATGAGAGAGCATCTCAGGCTGAGGAGAGGGCTATCATAGTTGAGAGTGACTTGGAGAATGGCCTAGTAGATGCATTTATTGATGATTATGAGGAGCTCTCAGGAAAGAATTCTACTGGTTGTTCTGATGAGCTTCTTATCATCTGAGGCACCTGGTGATGGTGATGTAGGATCTGAAGATGTTGAGGGTGATGAGAATGAGAACGACCATGAGAGTAGTCAGAGTGCTAGAGACTTTTGATTTTTTTTTTTATAAAGATATTTTGCAGCCTTAATTTTGTAAAAGTGGATTTTTGTCACTGAAACTTTTTTAAAATTGAATACAAAAAATGCAAAGATCTTTTGTAGTAAATCTAGAAAATTTTATTCATTCACTATTTATGTCAAGCAATATCGGGTAATAGCCCCAAAAGTATAAAAAATAAAATCAAGTTTTCCAACTTTTCTTCTCTCTTAAGGTGCCATTAGTAGTACCTCTTCACGTGCTCAGCATTCCATGGGTGTGGTAAGACTTTCCCCCCGAAATTCTAGATCTTGTAGATGACTAGTCTCATCACTTCTGTTATGAGGTAGGGTCCTTCGCAGTTTGATCCCAAGTTTCCTTCTCGCGAATCCTTTATGACGAGGATTACTTTTTTGAGGACCAAGTCTCCTGGTTTGAAGGAACGAGGCTTCACTATCGAGTTGCAGTACTTCATCATGCGGTGCTTGTACTTCGCGTTGCGGTCCACAACCATCTCACTTACCTCCTCTACCAAGTCGAGATTGATGCGGAGTTCTTCCTCGTGGGTGATGGGGTCGTGGTGTTGGACCCTTTGGGAATGTATCCCGATCTCCACAGGGATGACTGCCTCAGTTTCGAAGGTGAGGGAAAATGGGGTTTCACCAGTTGGGGTTCTTGGCGTGGTTCAGTAAGCCTATAATAGGAGTTTGTTAACCCAAAGACTGTTCGGTCTTTTAAGCCTTGTCTTTAGGTTACATAATAGCATTCTCACCATGACTCCTGCTTGTCCGTTTGCCTACGGGTGCACTGGGTTGTAATGAGGCTACTATATCTAAAGGTTAGAGCAGAATGAGTTGAGGAGCTTATTGTTGAATTGCTTAGCATTGTCACTAACAATGGCGTGGGGTATCCCGAAGCGGCAGACCAGGTTTTTTCAAATAAAATTTTTAGCCTTTGTATCTGTTATCGTTGTCAGGGGTTCGGCCTCTATCCACTTTGTGAAGTAGTCGACGTCAACCACTATGAACTTGCATTGTCCTCTGCTTAGGGGCAAGGGACCCAGGATGTCAATGCCCCATTTGAAAAAAGGCTACAGACTCGTGATGATTGTCAGCTCCTCTAGTGGCTGCCTGGGTACAGTGGCGAAGTGCTGACACTTGTCGCACTTCTTGACGAACTCCTGGGTGTCTCTCACCATGCTAGGCCAGAAATAGCCATGTTTGAGTGCCTTGTAGGAGAGGAAACGTCCTCCAGAGTGATTCCCACAAATCTCTTCGTAGATCTCTCGCAGGGCATAGTGAGCTTCTTTGGGTGTAAGGCATCGCAGTAATGGCAAGGAGTAGTCTTTCTTGTTTAAGGTGTCTTGTAAGATGGTAAACTTGGAGGCTCTCATCATGAGTTTCATGGCTTCCAAGGGATCATCTGGCAATACGCCCTCCTAGAGGTATGTCCTTATCGGGGTCATCCAATTTGACTCGGCAGAAGCACAATTGACATTTGGGGCTTCTAAGTCTAACCTACTTCTGCTGGTGGGGCTTCTACGGATGAGGCGAGCTTGACGAGTTAATCTACGACCATGTTGTCCTCTCTCAGTAAGTGACAGATTTAGAAGTATTAGAACTTCATGATCAAGGCTTTCACCATGGCAAAGTACTCATGTATTCTCGTTCCTCTTGCTTTGAACTCACCATTTACTTGGTTGACTATTAGTTGAGAGTCACTAGAAGTGATGAGGTGTTGGGCTTCCATTTCTATTGCCAACCTTAGGCCAAAGAGGAGGGCTTCATATTCTGCCTTATTATTAGAGGTGATGAAGTGGAGCATTACAACATACTTGATAGAAGTGCCATCGGGGCTGATCAGAATTAGGCTTGCTCCACCTCCTTCACTGGTCGAGGAGCCGTCTACATGGAGCTTCCAGATGGGTGGAGAGGAGGGCACGGAGATCGCTATAGGAGCCTAGTTGAGAGGCTGAGATGCCCAAGCTCCAGGAAGAGATGCCTAGGCACTAGACTGAGCGCCAAGTCTGCTCGCTTGGCATGGGCACCTGGGAGTTTGACCTGGGTGTCTAGGTGTCTAAGTGTTCTCGCAGGGCGACTGGGTGTCCTTACCGGGCGTCAGATTACTTTGTGTGTCTAGGCTCAGCGTCTAAGGTATGAAAAGCTCATTGGTCTCCTCCTGTGCTAGTGGAAGCTTAACAATAAAATCTATCAAGGCTTGTGTTTTGATGGCCGCCCTTGGCTGGTATTGGATATCGAACTCACCCAGTTCCACTAGCCACTTAAGGAGTCTCCCAGATACATCTGGCTTTCCCAAGAATCTCTTTAGAGGTAGGTTTGTGATGATAACAATGCAGTGACTCTAAAAATAATGTCGTAAATGCCTTGTTGTTGAGATTAGGGCGAGCGCTAGTTTTTCTAGCCCTGAATATCTGATTTCTGCTCCTTGGTATTCTTTGCTCACATAATAGATAGGCTTTTGCACTCCATCATTGTTCTTGATGAAGATGGAGCATACTGCCAATGGGGAAGCAGAAAGGTACAGATATAGAGTTTCTCCTAGTGTAGCATGTGAAAGAAGAGAAGGCATAGCTAAGTAGGCTTTGAGCCTTTGGAAGGCTTACTTTGCCTCAGATCCTCAAGAAAGGCAAGCATTTGTCTACAGACTTGAAAACGAATCTGTTAAGTGCTGTAATTCTCCCATTGAGGCACCAGAGCTCTTTGGTTGAGGAAGGTGACTTCATATCGAGGATGGTCTTGATCTTGTCAAAGTTCGTCTCAATTCCCCTCTAGTTGACCATAAAGCCTAAGAAATTTCTTGACCCTATGCCAAATGCGTACTTTTCAAGATTCAGCTTCATGCAATATGACCTGAGAATGTTGAAAGTTTCTTGGATGTGGTCAATGTGGTTTGTTGCGATGAGACTTTTCACCAACATGTATTCCATATAAATC